TCATATTAGACATCACATCGATAAATGACTTAGTTTTCACCCTCGCACCAATCAACATTAATTATATTAGATAGTATCACACTAAATCTATGTTGATAATTATTTTCTTATTAACTACATCCTTGGTCCGGCAAGTAGCAACAAAGAGAGTTTTAACGTTTGCAATCGCTAAAAAGAGTTCTAAACGAAAGAATTATCAATGCATGCAAAACACTATTTCAGAATTACTTAGTTACTATTCATACTTCGTTAATCGCTCATGGTTCCCACAACCCTATTTATGGATTTAGTTACCCATATTAGTACGAACACAATTCATATTTGTAGAAGAAGAAATCACGAACTTACGCAATAAGAATGATAAACACAGAATTTCAACTTGAATTTCCAAACCAAAATCTTCAACACAAACTTAGGAACTTAAGAAATGCTAAAGTTGCCAATTAATCTCCCAAGCCAAAAACTAGAACTAAAAATAATAAAGTCTAAAAACTCCAGAAACGAGGTCTACATACCCTATTTATAGAAAATAAGTCCTAAATTAAAAGGGAAACAAAATAAGGAAAGTTTGTTCAGGCACACGTCTTCATTCCACGAGACTGACTCATGGGCCGTCAATGGATCTATGGTTCGTGAGTCCCTTCCATCAGCCAGGACTTAGAAAATATTTCATCTTCTGAAAATCAGCTTCTCTGAAGCCAACGATGGAACACCAGTACGGACCGTAGATCGATCTACGGTCTGTCGATCCCTCTCTGCAGCTCCATACTTAGAATTCTCCAAAAATCAGGTACTTGAACGCCCTCTCATGAATCTCTGCTAGTAGCATGCGGGTGAAGTTGATCTTGAACCCCGCTACTAATGCTGCCACCATTACTGCTCTATCCCATGTAAGTGCATTGTCGGCCTTTGTGGGTGACACTCTATTCCGCACCAGCAACCAAAAAAACTTGGCCACCAAATTCAAGGTGGCCTTTCGAATACCCAAATGTGGTGAGTTAACCCACTCCATACGCTCTCCATCTGCAGCTATGTGCCTGGCCAACCACAGTAAGACAGCCTCCCTCTGCTCGGCATTACGCGTAAAGGCTCCACTCCTCACAACATCTCATTTGTAATCAAATTCAGCTGTGTTGAGTGCCCAAGTGTGATCAGGACTAGGGCCATAGAGGAATTGGCTGATGGTGGTATGTGATATGTCCACTGGGAAACATCGGACCATAGTAGAAGTGATAGGGTCCTGGTCTGTGGGCTTGGACCTCTTGTCAATCGAACCTCGGAGAGTGGCAGCATAGGAGGCATAGAATTCCCACACAATATCTTTGCTATAAGTCCCAGGGTCTCGAGCCATCCAGTCGCAGTTGTGAAGCTGAAAGAGCTGGTGGATGTCGAGAATAGTGTGTAAGCTCCATGTGAGGACTCTGTGCTCTTCAGTAATAAGTCGGGCCATCTTCTCTTTCTCATTCAGCATTATGGCATCCTGGTAGATTTGCCATTGCCTCTCAACACACTATCTGTTTGGCTCCCCAGCCACCGGATCAGGGTCACAACTTCGTGGCACTGGGAATTCTCTCGAACTAGTTACCTCATCAGACGAGGCAACTTTTTCATGTGATCCTGAGCCTGTGGCGGATCCAGAACCGGAGCCGAAAGCATGGGCAGGTTGAGAGCCGGAAGTAGAGGCAAACTCTGAGCCGGAAGTAGAACCAGTCTCAGAACCGAAAGCAGAACCAACCGATGACCCGGTTAGTGTGTTCTCCTCATCAGACTGGGAGACAGTGACTACGTCGGTGACCACCTGCCGGGATGTATTTCGGGTAGCCCAAGTTGCAGTAGGGGATGTCCTCATGGCCGATGGAACATATGCTGGATCTTTGTTTGCGTCCATGTCTTCATCAATTAGCCTAAAAGTAGACTGCACAGATTTTGATTTTACCCTTTTGGAGTAGGTCACTTGCTTCTTAGGCGCCATGGTACCTGTGGATGTCTAATTAGTACCATAATAAACTCATGACAAATTCGAAAATATTTTAGAACTAAGAACGAACAAAAATGAAAAACAGAAAAAAATTTAGACAATGGCTTCAGTGGCCACCTACGGTGGGAATCAACGGTCCATAGGCTGACCTATGGTCCGTAGATCCCTTTCGTAGATCAGAGGTACCAAAAAGTTGGTCTCTGATGGGTACCACGGATGTGCAGAACAGTCCGTAGATTTATCTACGGACCGTAGTCCACTTCCATGGTTCCATACTTGGTGATATTCTCATGTGCCACCAACCACGGACCTGATCTACGGTCCGTAGATTGACCTACGGTCCGTAGACGGGGTCTCGTGGATGGGATCAGTGCTAGGTTTCAGGCATCCTTCATGTTAACCCCAATTTGACCAATTTCAACAATATCACTTAATCTAATCATGCATTTCAACAAAAAAATATACTAGTTCGTCATTCTAGGGGTTTCAATTACTAAATTTACAGGAATTGCACAAAAATTAGGAACCTTAAGTTGAAACTTGCATTTAGACTCTCATTACACTGTTTTATACATTATAAAGACGCACAATCACTATCTTTCGTCCCAAGAACGTTTGTAGTTCTAGTTTAGCATGCATTTACATACAATCAACTACCCAAGGTCAAGACCTAATTCCGGACTTTCTCTAATCAAACACTGAATCGAAATTCAAAGTGAAAGGAAAGTCTATTACTTTATAAGCAATGGGAATGAGGTGATTGTGTAATGACTCGAGACTTCCAACAACCTTTTGCTTGCCTTTCGCACTGAACCCGGACACCGAACCTTTGAAAATGGGAAATGGGATAGAGTTGGGGGAGGAGAGAGTGCTTTGTGAAATGGGAGGATGAATATGGGGTGAGGGATGGTGGATATATGGTAATATGACGTGACTGGAGTAGTTAGAGAGGTGTAGAAACAGTTTTGGGGTATAAATGAGGGAAGTGGAACAATTTGAAAACGAGGGGGTTTTATTTAAAATATGTCTGGGTCGGGTCAGGCATACTAAGGTTTGGACCCACGAGACCCCGTCTACGGTTCGTGGGTCGATCTACGGTCCGTAGATGAGGACCGTAGATCGCACTTGCACTTTTAAAAATTCAAGAACCTTACCTGGGCTCTACAGACACCATTCACGGTCCATGGACTGAACCACAGACCGTCGATGGGGTCCGTAGACCTCTGCACAAGTCTTTTTTCTACAGATTTTGCTTTTCGTCCTTGCACATGTAGCGCCCATTAGGCCTTTCTTTTTACATTTTCTGGACACTTTTTAGACACGGACCCTATGCTATGTCTAGCCAACACTTAAACAAAAAAAATAGAACAACTATCTAAATGAGTACAGAGAAGCAACTAAACAAACAAAACTACCAAATGGAAACAAGAACCTATTGTTGGCTAGATTTTACATCTTGGGTTGCCTCCCAAGCAGCACTTGATTTAACGTCGCGGCACGACACAAGCCTCTTGATTACTCAGACTTCATCAATATAGTAGGCCTCAACAACTTCTTGCACACTTTCTGAGTTTCCTAGATATATCTTGATCCTTTTCCTGTTAACCATGAACCTTGTTCCTTCACTGTTCTCAAGCTCAACCGCTCCATGGGGGAGCACTTTTGTGAGAAAAAATGGCTAGGTCCATTTGGACTTGAGTTTGCCCGGAAACAAGCGCAACCTAGAGTTGAATAGAAGCACAAGATCACCCACAACAAACTCTCGCTATTCAATTCTTTGATCATGATACCTCTTCATCTTCTCTTTGTACAAGGCTGAACTTTCATAAGCTTTTAGGCGAAACTCATCAAGCATATTCAAGTCATTCATTCTTTGATTAGATGCGGCACCCCAATCCAAATTTAGCTTCTTCATCGCCCACAAAACCTTATGATCTAGCTCTACTGGTAAGTGGGAAGACTTCCCATATAAAAGTTGGTAAGGAGACATACCTATGGGAGTCTTGTATGCAGTGCGATAGGCCCATAGAGCATCATCAATCTTCCTTGACCAATCTGTTTTATTAGCATTCACAGTCTTCGCCAAAATATATTTGATCTCTCTGTTGGACACTTCAACTTGTCCACTAGTCTGCGGATGGTAAGGAGTGGCAACATTGTGGTGGACACCATATTTCTCAAGTAGCGCCTTGAACAACTTATTACAAAAGTGGGAACCTTCATCACTGATAATTGCCCTCGTTGTACCAAATCTGGAAAAGATATTCTTTTTCAAAAATGCGGTGACACTTTTTCCTTCATTGTTAGGGAGAGCAACTGCTTCAACCCACTTCAATACATAATCAACCGCAACAAGAATATACTTCATCCCATGTGAACTCACAGATGGACCCATAAAATAAATGCCCCATACATCAAACAACTCTATCACCAATATAGGATTCATAAGAATCTCTTGCCTCTTTGAAATGCCTCCTTCTCTTTGGCAACGATCACAAGACTTGGTGAAATCATGAGCATCTTGGTGGATGGTAGACCAGTAGTACCGACACTACAAAATCTTATGCGCAGTCCGAATACCACTATGATGCCCACCAACAGGCGATGAATGACACGCCTCAATTACACTCAACATCTCAACCTCGGGCACACAACGATAAATAATCTCATCAGCACAACTACGATACAAGTAAGGCATATCCCAAAAGAATTTCTTCACATCATGCATAAACTTTTTCCTTTGGTGAAAAGACAAATCTGGTGGCACCAAGTTGCTTACCAAATAATTAACAAAGTCTGCGAACCAAGGAATCAGATCATGAGAAGTAGCCAATACATGTTCATCTAGAAAAGCATCATTAATTTCAGCTAATCTTCTCTGGTACTCAATACTAGGCTTGTGGTCTAGCATGAGTTGGATTTTATAAGAACAGATACCAGGAGGAATCCCAATAATGTCCGCAATAGTCCACCCAATAGCTCGCTTGAACATCTTTAACATAGAAATCAGACACTCTACTTGTCACCCATTCAAATCTACCGCAATGATGACCGGTAACGTCTCATCTTTTCCCAAGAATACGTACCTCAAATGTGATGGTAGAGCCTTAAGCTCTAATTTCGGTGCCTCCTCAACAGATGGTCTTGCGGGTGGGAACTCACGATTTTTCATGTCTAACTCCAGCTTCTTAAGTTTCGAACTATATTCGCACCTATCAAGTGCGACGAACAACTCATCATACTCTTCAATACCATCACTCTCAAAGTTCATCATAACCGATGCTAGTGCCTCAACACCCAATCTCTTTTCAATCTGCACTTTAGACCCACTCTCAACTCTATATGTTATCGCAGATACTGATTGGAGCTACTACTCTGCTTCATAGACCTACAGATATTGAAAGTTGCCTCTTCATTGTTCAGTATGAACTTCATCTTCCCCTTTTCCATATCAATCAAGGCGCGCCCAGTGGAAAAGAATGGTCTCCCAAAAATGATAGGAACCTCAAAATCGACCTCACAATTAAGAATCACAAAATTTGTTAGAAAGATGAACGACTCCACTTTTACTAGTACATCATGGAGCACACCAATGGGCCTCTTCATAGTTCTGTCGGCTATGAGCAACCATATCGCAGTCAGCTTTGGATCTCCCAGACCTAGCTTTTTGTAAATCGACAATGGCATCAGATTAATGCTACCCCCAAGATCACACAATGTCGTAGCAAAATGCAACAACCCGATGGTACATGGAATAGTAAAGGCACCATGATCCTCCTTCTTCTGCACAAGGGACCTAGTAGCAATAACGCTATAATGTTGCAATCTATTATCATCCTCGAAGCTCACGATCCTTTTCTTCGTCACCATATTCTTCATAAATTTTGCATACCCAGGCATTTGCTCCTAAGCCTCTATCAACGAAACATTGATTGAAAGTTGTTTCAACATGCTAATAAACCTGCGGTATTTGCCTTCTTCAGTCTTCTTCACTAACCTCAGTGGGAAGGGAGGTGGAGGTCTAGGTATGGGGACAACTTTTGAGTTACCTCCGCTTTTTTCTCTGTCGCATTCTCGAACTCCTCACTTACCTCGACCACATCATCATCTTTACTATTCTCAATTTCCACCCCAGATGGCATAGGTGGATCAATGGTTTGCTTACCCCCTCAAGTAGTGACTGACATACAATGCCCGTCATTCTTTGGATTCTGGATGGTGTTGCTAGGAAGAGTGCCAGGTTGACGTGGATTTACTGTAGCAGAAAACTGAGTCACCTGCTGCTCAAGATGCTTGATTGACACTGCATGGGCATAAACTTTTTGACCAATACCAGACAAGTCATTTCTCATCTTCTTCACATTCTCATCAGTTGCATCAAACCTCCTCATCATCTTTTGCATCATATCCTCAATACGTGACATACTACTCCCATCTTCCCTAGGACCAAATTCCCAATTTTGAGCGGAACATAAGGTCCAACCCGATCATTTTTGTTGCCATAGTTGTTTCGGTTGTAGTTGTTGTCGTGATTAAAGTTCCCATCCCGGACATATTGACCCTCGCGGTTGTAATTTCCATAGTTCCGACCATGGTTTCCTTAACCTTGGCACCAATTATCCGTGTTGGAACCTTGGGTGTTTGGTCGGAAACCCCCCATCTGCTTATTCACCGCATACGCATCCGCTTCAAAATAATACTCTTCTTCCAGTGTGGAGTTCTAGTTAAATAGTTCACAACATTTACCTTGTCCGCTCGTCCAGTCACATGCTTTAACACCAACCCTAGTTCAGTTCTCATATGTGCCATCTCCTCACGAATCTCATCTGCGGGCTGGTTGTTTGTAGCTTAAACGGCAAATGTGCTCCTCCCAATGTCTGATTTTCTAGTGCTCCAAGCTTTATTATTTCAAGATATCTTCTCCATCTTCTTTGAAATCTGTGCAAAAGTGCATTCCCCGTACGAACCTCCTGCAATAGTATCGAGCACTGCCTTACCATTATCATCTTATCTTCGGTAGAAATACTCCTTCAGCGACTCATCATCAATACGGTGATTCGGTACACCTCTCATGAAGGCAGTGAACCTATCCCAAGAACTACTCACAGACTCTCCAGGTAATGCTACAAAGTTATTGAGTTTATCCTTCTTGTTCAACTTCTTGGACACTGGAAAAAATCTTGCTAAAAATGCCTCTGTCAACTGCTCCCATGTATATATTGAGTTGTAAGAGAGTTCATTGAACCACACTGCAGCATCTCTGGTCAATGATAGGGGGAACACACGCAACCCAATGACGTTCATATCCCAATCCAGTCGACCTATGCAGCTTTTGCAGACATGGTTTAGTTTGGCTATGTGGGCATGTGGATCATCCACTGGCAAACCCGCAAACAAGCCCCTCGCTGTAAGCATCTGCATCAAGCTACTGGTCACCACAAATGTATGCCTCTGAGGTAGAGGCAGTAGGACAAGAGGTCCATCAGAATCGACAATATTAAGGTTGACCCTAAAATTGTCAGGCTTTTGTAGTCCTTGTGGGTCATGTACCCTTAATGCATCTCCCAATCTATTTTTAGCTGGCACTTGATTATTCTCATCACCTACTCTCGGAGGTTGCAATCCAACTCTTTCACCTAACTCTCCTCCGATAGGATTAACCGAAACTCCTTGATAATTCATTCTCCGCAAAGTTTAGTTCAGTTCTGGATCGTAGGGAGTAAGTGGTTCACCTTGGCTCTTTGTACTTGGCATACACTAGAGTAAGACCCTGAGAGAGACAAAAAGAAAAGAAAAAGTAAAATTAGGAAATATTTGACTAAAGTTCATAATGTAGTTAAACTTAGTCTAAAAGCCATATTCCCCGGCACCGGTGCCAAAATTTGATACGCTCAAATTACACCTCCCTAAAGAAGCGTAAGTGATCGTGATCACGTAAAGAAACCAACTTGTAGGTTGGGGTTGATCCCACGAGGAATATGGTTTAGACTTAAGTTCAATAACGATTATATTCGTTTAGCCAATGTATTTCCGAGACAATAAATAAAACAGGGGGATTTGTGTAACAAATTTTGGAAATTATGAAAGTAGTTAGTAATGCAAGGTTCAAACTTTTGTTGTTATCAAATTGAGAAAGAAACTAGGGCGTACGTGTTCCCCATAAACTCATAACTCTGTAATCCTACTAATAGCAATCCCTTCCTAGTGTATTACATTTAAAGCAATAAGTTATGTATCTCTAAATCCTTGGTCCGACATCTAGAGAATTTCACCCCGCACCTTGGTCCGGCTACGTGTGTATAATTTACTAACCCTTACCATTACCTCATATTAGACGTCACATCGATGTATGGCTTAGTTTTCACCCTCGCACCAATCGACATTAATTCTACTAGATAGTATCACACTAAATCTATGTTGATTCTTTTCTTATTAACTACCTCCTTGGTCCGGCAAGTAGCAACAAGGCGAGTTTTAACGTTTGCAATCGCTAAAAAGACTTCTAAACGAAAGAATTATCAATGCATGCAAAACACTATTCGGGAATTACTTAGTTACTATTCATACTTCGTTAATCGCTCATGGTTCCCACAACCCTAGCTGTGGATTTAGTTACCCATATTAGTACGAACACAATTCATATTTGTAGAAGAAGAAATCATGAACTTACGTAATGAAAATGATAAACCCAGAATTTCAACTTGAATTTCCAAACCAAAATCTTCAACACAAACTTAGGAAATTAAGAATTGCTAAAGTTGCCTGTTAATCTCCCAAGCCAAAAACTAGAACTAAAAATAATAAAGTCTAAAAAAACCCCAAAAATGAGGTTTACATACCCTATTTATAGAAAACAAGTCCTAAATTAAAAGGGAAACAAAATAAGGAAAGTTTGTTCAGGCACGCGTCTTCATTCCACGAGACTGACTCACGGACCGTCAATGGATCTACGGTCCGTGATTCCCTTCCGTCAGCCATAACTTAGAAAGTATTTCAGCTTCCAAAAATCAGCTTCTCTGAAGCCAACGACGAAACACCAGTACGGACCGTAGATCAATCTATGGTTCGTCTATCCCTCTCCATAGCTCCATACTTAGAATTCTCCAAAAATCAGGTATTAAAACCCTCGCAGTCACATTCTACAATTCAGCAGTACGGTCCGTAAATCAATCTACGAACCGTCAATGGTCACCATGGTTCCACACTTGGTCAGATTCCCTGATTCTCCTTGCATGCCTTGCTCTACTGATCTACGATCACCATCTACGGTGCATTAATGGACCTACGGTCCGTAGATGCCCTTTTCTACATTTCTTTAACCTACATCTTTCCTGCAAAACATCACATAAAAACCAATACAAAAAGGCCCTAGACACACATAACTCTTAAGTGAAATGTATTGAAAAATACCGTAAACTCATGGTATATCACTAACTTTGGTAAGCCTCCTTCCTTTCTAGAGGACTTCACATTATTGTTTTTTGTTCTTGTTAGGTTGTCGGGGGTCTTGTCCCGACATCTATTGTATTATTTAGAGGCTTCATAGATAGTAGTAGTTGAGGAGTCTTTTTCCCATTTCCCTTGTTAATGTTTTAAAGACTTTGAGTTAATTATTATGTTCACTTAAATACTTTCAGACATCTAGTGAGTTAATAAGTTATTGAGACCTTTTGAGTTAATCTTTGCAATTGAGCTCCTATTTTACTTAAGTCAGTCAGGCCAAGGGTTCTCTTGGGACCTGAGATGGTTCTAGAGTGTCATCCACGACCAGGATGTAGGCTTGGGTCGTGACAAACTTGGTATTAGAGCACAGAGTTCAAAAGTCTTAGGGTGTCTATGATGTCGTGTCAGTAGAGTCCTATTTATCGGTGTGAAGCGTTCCACATTTATAATTAAGATGTTGGGACATTTAGGAAAAGTTTCACTTCATTCTTACTCTTTTTCGTGCGATAGAGTTCAACTATATAGAAGTTTATTTCTAATTTTCTCTTGCACGTATATTTTCAAATCATGCCTCCACAAAGAGTTGTTAAAGGTCATCTTACAAGGAGAAATGTTGATCTACAAGACCAAGGGGTACCTAATGCAACCCCCATCAATGAGAGGTCACAAATACTAAGTTCTGGGATGCTATTTGGATGTTGAGTCAAGTTGTGGAGACTCAAGCTGGTAAGCAAAGAGTGGTTTGTTAGGATGTGACTTATACATCCAAGATCCATGAGTTCTTGAGAATGAATCCTCCAAAAATCACAGGGTCAAATGTCATTGAGTTTCCGGATAACTTTGTGGAGGAGCTGCATAAAGTGTTTGAAGTTATATGTATCATTGATGTTACTGAGCGTGTGGAGTTAGCTGCTTACCAACTTAAGGCTGTTGCTAGGATTTTTTACGACCAATGGAAGAAGAGCAGGGGGGAAGGGGCACCACTTCTGAGCTGGACTATTTTGAAGTGCCTTCCTAGAGAGCTTATTTCCCTATGAGCTGAGGGAAGAAAAAGTGAGAGAATTCTTGAATCTTAAATAGGAGGCCATGAATGTGCATGAGTACAACTTGAATTTCACCCAGTTGTCCCATTATGCTCCAGAGATGGTGGCAGATATGAGAAGTATGATGAGTTTGTTTGTGTCTGGATTGTCTCGTTTGTCCAGTAAGGAGGGCAATGTAACTATGTTGATAGGGGACATGGACATAGCCAGGCATATAATCCATGTACAACAGGTTAAAGAAGATAAGTTGAAAGATAGGGAAGATTTCTGGAGTAAGAGGGCTAAGAAAACAGGTCATGAGTCCGCACAACAGAAGACCAGGAATGTGAATCGGTCATATTTTCAACAAAGGCCAACTGGAACTGCTCCATCATCAGCTAGTGCACTTGCACCAAAGAATAGAGGTGACTTCAT